TAATAATCCTCCCAGGAAATAAGTGTTAAAACATACTGGTGGAGCTGAATGTTTACAATTAATAAACCTCACAGGAAATAAGTGTTAAAACATACTGGTGGAGCTGAACGTTTACAGTTAATAAACCTCACAGGAAATAACTGTTAAAGCATACTGGTGGAGCTGAATGTTTACAATTAATAAAACTCACAGGAAATAAGTGTTAAAGCATACTGGTGGAGCTGAATGTTTACAATTAATAAACCTCACAGGAAATAAGTGTTAAAACATACTGGTGGAGCTGAAGGTTTACAATTAATAAACCTCACAGGAAATAAGTGTTAAAGCATACTGGTGGAGCTGAATGTTTACAATTAATAATCCTCCCAGGAAATAAGTGTTAAAACATACTGTTGGAGCTGAACGTGTACAATTAATAAACCTCACAGGAAATAAGTGTTAAAACATACTGTTGGAGCTGAACGTGTACAATTAATAAACCTCACAGGAAATAAGTGTTAAAACATACTGTTGGAGCTGAACGTTTACAATTAATAAACCTCCCACGAAATAAGTGTTAAAACATACTGTTGGAGCTGAGCTAAAGAAATGGAGAATCACACAAGCAAGTGTAAAAAGAGTATTGCTTGATATCGAAAGTGACGCCTGATTATAACGAAACTCAATTCTGACCAATACTAGTTGTTGTTAAAATATAATGTTTGCAGACTTGAGTCTAACACTTTAATTTCCATCATTGTATTTCAATATTTTAAAGTTATTTGTTTGATGAAAAAAAAAGACCATTACAATGAGTGAAGTGTCAGTAAATGTCTTAATGACTCGGATAGCAAACTTTTAAGTTGTCAACCTAGAATATGATAAATGTCCCTCAGATTTGTATGTTTCATATACATAACAATTAACAATAACCTTGGAGGAACTAAAAATAAATATTTCCCATCATGCCTTAGTATATCACGTGGCCTTGTGTCTCTAGTGTTTGAAGAAACAATTTCAGGATTTTATTTTTACTTAGGTGTAGAAACTTCTAACGAGATTTGAAAAGTAGATTTCTGAATATTTAAAGGTCTATCATTATAAAAAAAAATATTTTATTGTGCTTTTTTATGTGATTAATATTCAGAAATAGATTAATTGCTTACTTCTGTTCCAATTTGTGACGAAGACCAATTTTTTTATAAAGTCTTGAACTAATATTATAACTTACCGTTAACATCATAGTTATATGCATTTTCCTAACTTTAAATTAAATGATAGACAAACTTTTGGAAGCATTGTTTCTTTTACTGGTCGAGTGGTCATCATGCTGGACTGTAAATCTGATGTTCCTTGGTTTGTGTCCCATTAATAAAAAAAAATCCAGCTCTACACTTTTTAGGTTGTGGATATGTTATAAGAGTAACTGTCAAATCCCACTATTCAATAAGAATGGTCTTGAATAGTCAAGAAGAGCCTGTTTATTCACTCATTCATCCACCACTCTATCTACTTTCTCATCCATCCATCTATTTCATTATTTCTACTCTCCCACCAGGTGGCTCAGCGGTAAACTGGAAAACGTTAAAATCCAGGGTTCAATTCTGCTATTGCCCTTTAGTGAAGCTTTGAGCTTAGGATAAAGCAAACAATTTATTGTTGTAAGTCCGTAACATTACCCCACTGACCCACCAGGGGACCTGCTGTTTAGAAATTAATGCATCAATCGACGTTCCTTCAATCTCCTAGGCCTAACATGGGGACCTGCTGTTTAGAAAGTAACGCATCAATCGACGTTCCTTCAATCTCCTAGGCCTAACATGGCCAGGTAGTTAGGGTGCTCAACTAGCAATCTGCGGGTCGCAGGTTCGAATCCCCATCCCATCAAACATGCTCACCCTTTCAGCCATGGGGGCTTAATAATGTGACGATCAATCCCATTATTCATTGGTAAAAATGTAACCCACGAGTTGGGGGTGGGTGGTGATGACTAGCTGCCTTCTCTCTAGCCTTTCACTGCTAAATTAGAGACGGCTAGAGCAAATAGTCCCTCGTGTGCTTTGTCCTGTTCCTACACCTACTACATTATCGGTTTCCCATTATTTCAACATCTATACTATAAATACCTGTTTGTTTTATGCATAAATATATTGCATCAAAATAAATTTTGAATAAAGCAATGGGGCCAAAATTTAGGCATCTATTTTACAACAAAAAGTTTTCTCTTACTGTATTTTTTATAGAATTTCATATCAATAATATGTCAACTGAATGAAATGCAACTACTTTTCTCAATTAGAGATATATTAATTAATGTGAGTTGTGCTAAGCCTAAATACTCAACATAGCAAATGAAAGTTAATGCTGTACAGTGATAAATATACTCATAACACTTTCACCCCAGGTATAACTTTGCTAAATACTTCCCCCAATAAATAGGAACACAAAGTCATGACTGTTTT